ACATGTATCAGCTTTTATTCGTTTTCAATCCTCTTGTCACGAAGTCTTTCGAGAAGCTCTAGGTATATTTTGCAAATCTGGATTAACTTAGATGGATGGTATAAAGCAAATCACCAATTGCTCATTATTACTATAGTACAGCAGGAAATTTTGGCATGTGGCGTAAGTGTGCGATGTGCCATTTTAAATTATTTCAAAATTGTCCTGAAAATTTGTGTGATAGGTTTACATGGACAATGAGTTTGATACTCGACTTTGTACAAGATTGTGAAACTTTCTAAACGGTGTAACCACAATTTTGGAAACATCGGCGCTACTGCTTATGCTAAAAAATTTTGACAAAGTATTGTGAATGCAAACTTCGCATTCAAAATTCACCTATAATTAAGATATGAGAGGTTTTCAAATCGTTTTGTTCCCTTTCTGAGGCAAACTATGAGGCAAATTATGGTTCCTCAACGCTCAACTTATTCGAAACTCTTACCGTAATCCCACAGTAATGAAGAGCGATCGGTAATTTGAATTGAAAGACTACAAGACGGGAGAGTTATTAACGATTAAACGTGAAAGAAATAATGCGTTTCTATTTGCTTGCTATGGCATCGCAAGCAGACAAACTTCAAGAATTGATGATTACCTTTCGACAGAGCAAAGCAGGCCCTCCTGACTGATTTCAATTCTAGATTTTTTACGTGTAGTCAGGAATTAAATTTAGAATTTTCCGGGTGCCCAAAAATGGAAAACATTGATCTGCCGTCCAAAAACTTCCTACGGGAATCCCACTCGACGCATATGTGCTGTCGACAACACATATTCACAAATACAGTTGACGCATTTCTTCCTTTCCTGGAAACTAAGAAAACGAAAATTTTCGTATTTTTTCTCAAAGCAATGCTCTGCTGAAAACTAAAACCGGAGTTTGAAAAACGCAAAAAATTTACAGTTATACTTACACAGGCTTCTGGTATAGAATTACTTCCAGAAGGGCCCAGCAATACTTTGAGGTGCGAGTGGGAAGTTCGTAGAAAGTTTATGGACAGAAATTCAAGTTTTTCGAAATTTGGTTCTAGAACTTTTTAACTCTTGTTTTGAAACTTCAGTGGAAAAACTTAGCGGGGAAGCATCAATACCAGCTTGTAAGCTTGCTTTACTCTATCGAACAGTCCCCCCCCCCATGCGTTCCTAGAGTTCGCCTGGTTTCGGTGCCATATCAAGCAAATAAAAAACGACATTATTTTCTTGACAACTCAATATATAAGATCGTTCCGAATATGTCGTTTTTAGTCCTACACTCAAGAATCGGGTATGATAAGCATGCTCTAAAAACGTTGAGGCAAAAATTTTCTTCTTTTAATGTCGTTGTTCCGACACTTTGATGGTCGCTTCTACCTCCGCATGAGCCTCCAATCCATGGTTCTTTAATTATTTAAACCGGTATTTAAAAACTTTTATTTCATTGCTATGGAGCTTTGATGACATGACATTATGAGCTTTGATGACATGACATGACTTTGATGACATGCTTCGATGTTGGTTGAAACAAAGTGCAGTATAGCGCGTTTCCCTGCATTCATACAGGCCCACAATTTTTTTAAAATTATTTTTTTGCTGTTCTATGTTTGATCATGTCAAACTTCGCGAGATACCAAACTGTTCTTCATTAGGGTCCTTTTCGATGCAGCTCTTTCTTTCGAAAGTTAATTTTACTTCTCAGTTTGTGAAGTTTTCGGTTAGAAAGTTCTTAATTCTGAATTAGGCTATACCCGAATAATGCGAATTCTGATATATATCAAGCCCTGGCTATGCGTGCAGTGACTTCATCGTCGCGATTCTGTCGCCAGGGAATTTTATGATCAGAGCGACGAAAAAAGAAATTCGAAATCAGCGATATCGAAGCGTCGCTGATTTTAGACTGGCATGCGATATCTCTAAATTTTGGCCAAATTGTGACGATCTCGCTGAAGCAAGTATGTCCTAAGAAACAACGGTCAGCGATTCGTCGCGCCGGACAGCTAACATGACCCACATGCATCATTTCCCGGCATGCACAGTATGGCCAAGGCTTTAGGCTTAAGGCATACTTCTCACGATTTCGTCAAATCGCTACATCAACGCGACTTGGCGGTTTGCCAGATATCTGCAAATTCACCGTATGCCGGTTTCAACTGCACAGGCACATAGCTTTTGTGAGTTGTTGCAAAAGCATGAAGTTTGGCCTAAGTAACACGCTTAAGACCAGTTGTGAAGAGTCGTTGCAATGCCAGATCGCGCGGCGACTGAAATCGTGTAAGGTTTGCCTTAGGCCTTAGGGTGTCCCGTATTTTTTTTACTGTTTTTACCCTGATCAGCATTTTTTGAGAACTGGGGCACCTATAGAGGGCAAGAATACATGATCGTACTTTTGTATGTATGAGATATATGATCACGTGCGTGGGAGGAGCTAAGGACGTTCAGGGGCGGAGGTTGCCACTTTGCTCCGTTCATTTTTCCTTATTTCTATCCACGAAAAAGTGCGAAAAGTGTGCAAATGAATGTACGGTGTGCCAAGCATGTGCTAGGATAAATGGGAAATTTTCGTGATTTTTTGGGGCGGAGATACGATTTTTTGATAGTGAAGTTCGTTCTTGATTGCTATCAGTGTTCACCTCAAAACTTCACGTGGAATGCGATTTGAGCTGACTCTTGATAGCGATCTTGTAAGCTCGCTTTGCCCTTTCGAACGGTTATTCAAGCCACATCAATTGAGGGAGAGATACCAAAAGACGAAGGTCGTAGTAAAGACGTTAAAAAGTTATGGGACACAATGATAGAAGCGGTAGCTAAATTGCATGGTGCATTGGTGATAAATCATAATCGAATTTTTGGAAGTTTCAAATTCCGAAAACTTTATTAGTTGCTTGATTCATTCGTATGTTTGACATGTAAAAATGAAAACTTTGTAGAAAATATCTTGCAAAACAATAAATAGTACCTTCAGATGCCCAAAAAATTTATTTTTGTTTACTGTACCCACAGGTGATTAAAGCTTCTCCAAAAGTCAGAAATCAAAGGTCTACAAAGACATTACTGCTTGAAAGAGGGAGTTTTCTGCTTCGAACACTATTTAAAGCATCTGCCTAACATTAGAACGATCCGAGGATAGGTTTGAAAAGCGGGAGGAACTTTCGGACAGACCTACTATGTAAAATGTCGCTGCCAAAATTTTGTTAGTTTTTTGAATCCATCGGCAAATAAGGTAAAGATAATCAAATTCTTCAAGCTCTTTCCAACGGAAAATTTCTTTCTCTTTCCAGCTGCTATATCCATAGTGTGATTCATTGAGATAGTGTTGAGATAATCGCTGAAAATCACAACATTTCGTCTTCACTATGTCCAACTTTCGTGAAGTTTCATGATTTTTATTGAACTTTTGGAAGAGCTTCATAGCCATCAGTAGGACAAACTTTCTGGCAACTTTCTTCTTCTTTTTCCAGCTACTCATTTAGAATCGCTAGATAATTTTTCAAAAGTTTCAAATTTTGGAAAGATTCCATAACCGCTTATTGCACCAAGCCTGCAAAATCTTCAGAATACTGAGGTTTCAAAACCCGATTATTACTATACATATTTTGCAAAGCGACTTTAACCCTAGCTAGTCTTGAATGTGACGATTTTAGTACTTAAAGGCAGTGTCCGGGCAAAAACTCGATCTTGAGATTTTTTGCTTACCCGGGCCTATTCGCTGCGCTGAATCCGAAAATGCACATTGGAGAGCGCGAAAACGGCGAAAAACGGCTCTAACACGGGAGGGAAATCAGAAGGTGGGCGGAGTCCTCTCCATGGTGAATTCACGCTCCCAGCTTCCAGAGCGATTTTCTCGGTTCCGATTTCAAATCATACATTCGCACCTGACCGGTGGAGATCTCAGAGCGCTAGAGGAATTGGGAAGATCGCTCCAGAAGCTGGGACTGCGAAATTCACAGTGGGAGGGCCCCGCCCACTTCCGATTTCCCTCCTGCGTTAGAGCCCTTTTTTGCCGTTTTTGCGCTTTCCAATGTGGATTTTCGGATTCAGCATAGTGAATAGGCCCGGGTAAGCACAAAATCTCAAAATCGAGTTTTTGCCCGGACACTGCCTTTAAGGTACGTCAGTGCGCACTCGTTTGAGAAATACTGCCGTTCTTCCTGCAAATTTCGCGTTTCTCGCCAAGAGCCAACTGTTAGCAAGAAGGGAAAAAGCTGCATCGAATGGTACATGAACTGTTTACTACTTTATGGTCCACGAGGTTAGAATAGGCCGAATACAAAATTTGGTTACTCGGAAAAAATATGCTCTAAGAATTCTGAAAGACACACAAACTACAAGAAATTGCCTCAGTTGGCAAAAGGTTCGTCCTACATGCTGGCTGTTTAAACTCCCTCAAACTCAAAAATATCTCGCTTTTTTTCAATAAAACTCGGCTTGATGGCAAACGGAAAGAGGAAAAGATTCTGCTTTGGTTACGTTTTTTCCTCACTGCACGATTTGTGGGTCATTTCGAAACGCTGACATAACTTTACACCAATGTCAACATACATAAATGAATCTCTCTTTAGAAAGCCAAACTTGTTTAGTATTCTTCCCTAGTGAGCAGAGTTCTCAAAGGCGAAAGACTCGCTCTACGAGATTAAGAGGACATGTGAGGCCAAGATTTTTGATATTTTTCAATGACACTCCTTTGGTTCAAAGACTTGATGTTAAAGGAGTTGTTTGACACGGTGATTTGCCAACCAATCCCAAATGCTTTTATCTTCCGAAATACATAATAACTAGGTCAGAGTAGGGCACAGGCCGAACTGCAAGATTTGATTAGAGTACAGCCTTGGGAATTTTGAAGACGAGCTTGGCTTTCATAGAAGCTCGAAAGAGGGTTTGTATAGGGTTGCCAAAGCTGATATCATTCTGCAATGATTGTCAAGTGTGATCGTTATGCGAAGCGAAAAAAAGGTCCAAATTCCACGGCTATTCGATAATTAGGGTAGCTAAGGTGAACTGGTGGACGCCAACATAACACTTTCGCGGTATGGTATTTTCAAAATTGGAGCTTTCTTGCGTGTCGCTGAATAAGTCCAGTAAGTTGAATAGGCATACTCTTGTTCCAATTATTATGTTACTTATAATTATTATTTTATGTTATTTGTTCCAATTATTTATGTTTATGTAATCCAAACCAAACTGAACTGTCAGTTATTTTGCACCTTTGATATCAAGGTTTTTGGCAAACATATAATCGATCCAAGCTATGGTTATGTGAAATGAGATATATAGTTGTCCCGTGATTTTTTCCATTCGTCGATATCTTGCCGCTTCATTTTTTCAGTCAATGTCAAGCTACTATTTAATAGAACCGTGAAGCTTTACATAATAGTTTCCGGGTGTTGAAAGTTTGATCCACGTGGAGTTTTGAATTTTGAAAACATCCAAAACACGTCCAAAAATCTGCGGCCTCCTAAGTGCGCATATATTATACTTCTACATCAGATCATTAAATGTGCATTTGCTGTCTTTTCTATGGTCAAAAACTGAAGCAGAAGCAAGTTAAGTGCGATGTCGCCTCCAAATTTTTTTTGTCAAACTAGATTTTTCTTCTAAACTAGCGCTTGTGAAGCCAACGTATGGTGGCATTTTCCGAAAGTTTGTAGTAGAATTACCTATGTGTAAATCCCCCGCATTGCTCTGGCAAAAGCATATGAAATGTTGTGTTGAGTTTTCTAAATTTTTGGCTACAAAAATGCGTTATGTGTTCATATAAATGCCTGATGTTGAGATATGAGAGCACATGTATTGTTCGCAAAATTTTTTCATACGAGTATTTAAAGGCAGTGGATCGGTAAAATCCAACAACTTGGGATTTTAACACGGTAGGTTCCTTATCGCCCAAGTATCAAAACAGTGCAGTCCCGGTTGCACAGCATGCTTCCCCTGCCGAGAAAATCGCTTTCAAACTTACACGCGCAGGCCAATCTTACACGCATCTGGACGAGTTGGCAATTTCCTTCTCTCCATTGGAGGTTGCCCGCCGCAACGCTATAACCATTGGGTCCTGCCACGATTTAGCGTCGTCGGCCTTGCTCCACTCGTCCAATTCCAAAGGGTAGGGCATTGCAAAACGCTCATTTTCGCCGTTTTCAAGCTGTCTAAAGTGGATATTCGGGATCAGCGTATTGAAAAACCCCAGGTAAGCGCAAATTTGACTAGGCTGAGATTTGCCGAGCCACTGCCTTTAAGTTTTCATGTAATAATGAAATTCTGATTCTGTTTGTCAAGTCGGCGAATTTCGCAATGGGCGGGGGCAACTTGTAAAGCTTCCATTGTCTTATCAAATATTGGCTTGATGCTCTAACAAAATTCAAACTGACAAGATATAAACAATTTAATGAAAAACAACTCTAAGACAATACAACAATAATAATAAGCTTATGCCACTACTAAAAATCAATAATCACATGCCACTACTGAAAAAGTATCTAACAGCTGATTTGGATACATTAACAGCTGGTCTGGGTAAAGTAACAGCTGATCGGTATAAATTCCCAGCTGGTCTGGGTAAGTTAACAGCTGATTCGTACATATTAATAGCTGATCTGGGTGCAGAAGTTGAATCTTTGCCTATAAATTCAAACTTCTTACAATCAAACGTCATGCAGAATGAGACTGTCGTTCGTCCACATTTGACCGATGCATATTGAAGACGGTATTTTTGCGATCTGATTTCACCCAAAAATTTACGGAGCTAAATTGTATCTGCCATAGTAACAATTGAGTGGCGGCTGAAACACTCAGTACCTTTTCGCAGTCAATGCCGCGAAGACCATACTTCGCAACAGGCAAACCGTTTATATTACTTTCAAGCTCGCGAAAGTTCCTCTTGTTGAGATGTATTCCTTGTTTCCTGGCGAACTCGTAAAACTGCAAAATGTAGGTCCTAAATGCGAATGACCTGAACAACAAAGCTTACAAGCTCAAGGAAGTCATCTGAAGCAGTCTGCTGCGACTCGCTCGCGAGAACCACTTCGACGATACCCGAAGGATAAGCGCAGTAGGCAATCTTAATCAGTAGCTTAATGTTCATTACGACAGCTGTACAAGTACTGAAAGTGGTACAATGCAAGCTCTCTTTTCTTCGTCATATTTTGAGAAACTTGCATAAATCATTTTCAGGGATAGTGTTGTGCAGGCTTTGAGTAATTTAAGTTTCACTCTTCAAACTTGGTTGGTTCAAGACGACTGTCTCATAAAAAAGATTTCGAACGTTTTTGTGTCGTAATTGCAGAACATTGCCATACTAATGAATAAAGTTGAGCTGAGTCTGTATGTATTCGTAATGAATTCCATCTAGCCCATTTGGATCAAACTTTGCACACGTATACTTCGGGGAAAGGCGATGTCATAGGGTATCCTATGGATTTTTTGCAAACTTTATGCTAAGAGGACGGAAGGTGGCCAGGAAGAAGGGAGGATAAGTAGACATGTCACGAAAATAGCATCAAATATGAGCTAAAATCTCTTCGTTTATGGTTGGGTCAAAATGCGCTGCGTAGCGGCATACGCGACGTACGCGGCGCACTACTCATATCTCTACGCACGTGTGCGGACGCTGCGTACGAGTTATAAAAGTAGGACACAAATGTATGACCTGAAACGGAATGTAGGGTATCATGTTATGTCAATAGGGGCCAAGCGAAGCTAATAAATATCCCAGCTAACTCCTCATGACAAGTATAAATTCAGTTCTCTTTTTGATCCCAGTTAACTCCTCATGACAAGTATAGATTCAGTTCTCTCTTTGAGAGACTCTAGCGTAACTGTACCCTGAAAAGATGAAAGTATCTGAATAAAATGAAACAAAAATAAGCTGCGACTTATGTTAAGAAAGTCTTGGATTATTTCTTGCGAGTTTGCTCTCCTTTTTACAAAGTTCAAAAGTGTGGGCAAATTGTTTCATCCCAAGCACATGCTGAGCCCGCATGGTTTAGGGTCATATACGGAAAAGCGGCTGGGGACGCATATAGTCATGAGCAAAAACGAAAAAAAACGAAGCTATATTTAAGTTGGCCATTGCTTACGTAAAGGGTAAAATAAACTTGTTTTACTTACACCAAAAAGCAAGGGCACGGAAAGTAGAATCATTTTGCAATGTTTATTAAGGCGTTAAATGGCTCATTTTATGTGTTTTAGACAAAGAAAGAAATTATTCAAATGTAGTTATGATGGAATCTGCGCAGCGCAGCATTGCTTAAATGGTATGTAAAATAGCTTTTGTTTATTTTGAATGTCACAAGCATTGTGTCTATCAATGATCAGCTTTCCTGTCTCACCTCAACTTCTAATCCGTCTTGAAAATAAAAGCATAAGTGACACCACATGCGAACACATAAGCGATAAGTATACGAAGCGAAATTTTAGGCATTGTTTGCTGCTAATCTTAAGCAAAAATGCAAACTCAAGGCTTGATAGTTGGAAATTTTGTTGCTTAATTCCTAAGCATCAATTCCTTTTTCCAGCTTAACGGTGTTTATTTTGTTCCGTGTGACCTTTGTAACATCACTTCTTACTACATGACCAGTAACCACGTTTCTTCTTATTTGCAAATGACTCGAAATAACTTAGGGATCCTTCATATTACGCCGCAGCACGCAGCAGCACGCCGCCTTCGGCGTGCGCCGCTGCAGTCGCAGTGAAAATATAGCTCGCTCGCTGTGAAGAAACCTCTTGGAGAACACGAACGTGCAGTAAATAGACTTCAGTAAATAGAGATTACAACCATAACCGGCGAAGCTGTGCTGCCGTGAGCGTATATTTTCACTGCGACTTCAGCGTCGCACGTCGCAGGACTCGGCGTGCTGCGGCAGGCTGTCGTTCTGCGGCGTCCGCCGCAGCATGCCGCGTCCTGCAGCGTAGTATGAAGGAACCCTTACATCGCGAAATGGTTCAGCGCCACTGCTTATACAAGCCACTATACATTGGCACCATCTCCTAATACCCTAATCGGCTAATCTAACAAGGGGAGTATACCTGGTCGAAGTGGCGTTTCCATTTGAGATGTATACTATCTTACAGAGCATGGAACGCTGCCTCCAAATGTATTTTCCTTATCTGCAAAGCGCATTCGGGGGGGGGGGGGGAGAGAGTTCTGGAAATTTTTGTGGTAAAAAATCAATTATATGGCTAAGTTAAAAATAGTTATTGAGGTCTTTCCGGCGCTTGGAACGAGAAATGACTGACATTAGTTTATTAGATTGGAGGTCTTTATTCCATAGAAGGCCCTGGTAGTAATCCTGGCCCCATATGAGCTCACGGACTAAATTTCTGATAGATTTTATTGTAGCGGCGCTTTCAAAGTTTTGCATCAAAAAATTTCCATAACTCCTTTCTCAGAGGCGCTTTGCAGATATCGAAAGCAGATTTGGAGTCAGCATCCCATGCTCTATGAAATAGTGTACATTTCATATGGAAACGCCAATTCGACCAAGTATCCATCCCTTGTAAGAGATGTAATTCAATAAGACTTCTTTTGCAACGATTTACCACTACTTGCTATTAAGTCTATAATTTATTAATTTGATCAGTAGAGACTCAGATAATCGCCGGGGGCAGGCGGCCATGCGAATTTTGAGCAAGCGCGCACCGGAAAAATAGTTCGTTGATTTTTTGCCGCCCGCTTGCAGAAATTTGGAAGAAAATTGGCGAAATTAACGACGAATGCTTGAAGAACAATCGCGGTTTCTTTATGGATTAGCTGCGGCGCAATGGCCGCATTCTCGCGGACTTTCCGCGAGAATATGCAAAATTATTGAGAGCCGCACGGTCCTTTTTGAAGGACCGCACAGCCCTCAGGTACTTTCCGCTGAAAGAAAGTACCCCAAACTTGGGTAATAAAACCATCGATGGCACCTCTGCCACATAGAGTCTCATCTTTTCTCGGCGTACGCCCGAAACCGCGTAAAAAGAGTCCGAGCGCCTGCTGAAAGTTTGGCCAGCGCTCGCTGAAAGAGATTGTTTGACGAGCGCTTGCAGAAAATTTTGTATTGATGCCCGCTTGCAGAAAACGGAAATACCGCCCGCTGAAGATTTGGCCACGCCCCGAAATCCTGCGGACCGCCTGCCCCCGGCGATTATCTGAGTAAGACTCTGTATGGCAGAGCTGTCACCGTTGGTTTAATTACTCAAGTTTGAGGTACTTTCTCTCAGCGGAAAGTACCTGGGGGTTGCGCGGTCCTCCACAAAGGAACGTGCGGCCCTCGAAATTTTTGCATATTCTCGCGGAAAGTCCGCGAGAATGCGGCCACTGCGCCGCAGCTAATCCATAAAGAAACCGCGATCATTCGTCTTCAATTTTGCCAACTTTCTTCCAAATTTCTGCAAGCGGGTCGCAAAAAATCAACGAACTATTTTTCCGGCGCGCGCTTGCTCAAAATTCGCATGGCCGCCTGCCCCCGGCGGTTATCTGAGGAGAAGCCTTTTTGTAATTTTAAACAGGTTTGAAAACAACAAATTTTGACTAAGTACAAGCATCTCTATAATAAAGCGCTAGAGATGACTCATGCATGTAAGATATCCCCCCCCCTTCGTGCTCGTGATTCGGATGTCAACAACTTTGTCGTTATGTGCCGGTGCAGGTGCACCGAGCTGTGGCTCATGATGGTAGTGGCGCCTGTCTTAGATGATCTTAATCGAGAAGCCTAACTAGCAAAGTGACTTGCTAGACAAGCTAAATGCTGGGAAGGGGGAGGTTACTTAGCTGTTTTCGTTATGCATTAAATTACTATATCGCAATAGCGAGCAGCAACGCGAGCCCAGATAGCTTCCGCTAGAAAGGTTTTGGAGTTTCGGAAAACATCATCAAAATATAGAAAGCATATTGGAGGTATAAAAATTACTGTGAACTGAAGGAAAGCAAGATGAAGGTCCCCAATGCTGGAAGTACGAAAAATATGGCTTGAAATGCCACGAAATTGAGATATTAGGGTAGCGTAGAGGAAGTTGATGCGAAAGAAGGGAGGGGGCAGGGGGGGGGGGGGAGAGATTGGAAAAACGTGGGGAGATTTGCACTTTGACTTCAGCAAAAAGAAAGACATACGCACGTTTTCAAGAAAATCAGAGATCAAAGCTTTGAGCGGTCCTGGCAGGGGAAGCTCAAGAATAGTTTTGGGGATGTAATCGAAAGGTAAAGGAAAACTAACAAATAAGGCGCAAACACTTTGATATTGCTAAATTTACACATTGATAAATTTAGGGACATTCGGACATCTTATATATAAAGCTGAATGTCTGTTTGTCTGTCTGTCTGTCTGTCTGTCTGTCTGTCTATCTGTCTGTATGTCTGTGTGTACGTATGTTCCGAATAGAAAATTCCATTTCTGAACCGATCCGGACCAAACTTGGCACACATACACATCGGGCCCCGGCGGGTGTCATAAGCTACTTTTCGTCATCGATCGATATCGATTTTATCGATTTTTTGCAAAATTTGAGCTACGGGACTGGGAGTTGGCACAGGGGGGTAATCGAGCATGCTGATTACAAATTCAATAATGACAGGGCCGGGCGGAGCCGGGTAAGTCAACTAGTTTCTAATAAAAGGGACGAGGTCAGATTTTTCCCTGATCTCGAAGAAGCCGGAGACGTTCTCGCACGGTTTTTCGAAAAACGTTCACTTAGGGGAAAATAAGTAATAGAAAAGCGGAAAGTGGATTGGAAGGTTGAAATTACTCTCGCTGGGTATGCATAAATTATGATATAAATCCAATCTGAAAACCTCAAGAATATGATTAGTGTGGCACATTTTGAAGAAATAAGGAACTAAAGAAACGTGGAGATTTTTTGAAGGAAACTTTTCGGAAAGAAAGCGAAATATGCTTATGCTGATAAGCCTTCAGGGCAAAGGGGGGAGGGGGAGTGAAAACACGGAGGGGAGGGGGGGGGATTGCAGCGCAGTGTGATAGAAGAGCTCTCAATTTCTTCCAAAAGTTTTCCAGATGACTTAGATGGCATACTTTTAGCTCAAGTTGCACAACCTCAGCAGATTTGGCCATTTCACACCCATCAAGCTAATGTTTTGCAAAAGCTGTAAATCATTCATATGCCAAACATTTGGGGAGATAAGAAAAGCTCTGCTGTATATTTCATTCACATCAACATATGAAACCTATATTCGCCATTAGCAGATGTTTGCGAACACTCACTTTTTGACTAACCGTAAGAAGAGGCAATGTGCCAAATTTCTACGCACATCCCACTTCACACACGGTCAGACCGAAGTGCCGCAAAGCGGCACTTCGGTCTAGTGTATACATAATACCTCGCTTGCAGGTGGCTGTCTGCGAAGTGTTGTATATATACATGCTCAAGGCTTTGCTTTTCGCTACAGCTCAAGGATTTTGTTACACCACGTACAAACATACGCCCGTGAAGGGAGGTGTTTGTACATGGCGTATCAAAAGTCGTTGAGCCTGTACTCTCCCAGCTATCTTGAGCGAATCAACGTGGGACGATTGATACATCATTAAGTTGAAACAACAAAAGTAACAAGGTTTATATTATCTTCCGCTAAATTCCAAAAAAGGTCCGCCAATCCTTAAAGAACGCTGCGAAACAATCGAAATTTCGCTATCAAGTTCTTAAAAACACCAAAAAAAACGGTTGTGATGAAAACGACGTAACTATCTAACAATCAAAGCAAACAATCAACAAGCAAACTTCGGTTCAATGAGGGTGGTCCAATTATGGAAAGACCTTGAAATGAAAAATTAGATGATCTAGGGTGAACGCTCCGCTCCTTCTTATCGATTTATTCCGTTACCAAATAGCTAGGTGACATCGCAGCTAAAATAACCGATTAAGCAGCGGGAAAGTTGCAACGCAGAGCCCAACGCCGCTCTTTGTCCGCCCGCTCAGATAATCGCCGGGGGCAGGCGCTCAGATAATCGCCGGGGGCAGGCGGTCCGCAAACTCGCGCTTTTCTGCAGGCGGTCAGCAGAATTTTGGGGCGTGGCCAAACCTTCAGCGGGCGGTACTTCCGCGTTCTGCCAGCGGGCAGCAATACAGAATTTCCTGCGAGCGCTCGTCAAATAATATCTTCCAGCGAGCGCTGGCCAAACTTTCAGCAAGCGCTCGGACTCTTTTTAAGCATTTTCGGGCGTACGTCGAGCGCAGGTAAGACTCTGTGTGGCAGAGGTGTCACCGTTGGTTTAATAACTCAAGTTTGAGGTACTTTCTCTCAGCGGAAAGTACCTGCTCGGACAATCGCCGGGGGCAGGCGGGCACCGGAAAAATAGATTGCTGATCTCTCGCACCCCGCTCGCGGATTTTTTGGAAAGCAATCAGGACTTTTCGGAAGACCGCTTGCTGAGTTCTCGATTCCTCAGAGATTCAGCAATATATCTGCAAAAGAAAAGGGCAAAAAAAATTCAACAGGCGGTCTCTCAAAAATCCGCTGACTCAGCGAGCGGTCCTCCGAAAAGTTCTGATTGCTTTCCAAAAAATCCGCGAGCGGGGTGCGAGAAATCAGCAATCTCTTTTTCCGGTGCCCGCCTGCCCCCAGCGATTGTCTGAGTGGGGGTTGCGCGGTCCTTCACAAAGGAACGTGCGGCCCTCGAAATTTTTGCATATTCTCGCGGAAAGTCCGCGAGAATGCGGCCACTGCGCCGCAGCTAATCCATAAAGAAACCGCGATTGTTCTTCAAGCATTCGTCTTTAATTTTGCCAACTTTCTTCCAAATTTCTGCAAGCGGGCCGCAAAAAATCAACGAACTATTTTTCCGGTGCGCGCTTGCTCAAAATTCGCATGGCCGCCTGCCCCCGGCGGTTATCTGAGCGGGAAGAAGTAAGTTGACGGGCTCAGCATTGAAACATTATTTGGTTTTTATGGATTTGAAGAAGCTAAAGACAGATAAAGATAGCAGCATGACTGCATGACCACGTGCCGATTGTTCTCTGATGGACGAACTGATGCGAGCAATTTGCGAGAAAAGTCAAAGGAACGCGCTTGCGCTAAGGCGAGCAACGAACACCGAGCCGATATCAGTGCCTCCTAGAAAAAGGAATTAATGTCTACGGTAACAAAAATCCGCTTTTCAGATATAATTCCCGCAAAAACTATCCGCGGCCTTGAACCGTCCCATAGCCTGCCACCAAGCCCTTCAACTCTGCAAGTCGAGGAACTAGGTTCCAAAATAGCCAAAGCTGCCAAGTTAGCAACAACGGTCACCGCAGGAAAGGAGGACAACTCCACTGAAGACGAAATAACTACTGTTTAACTGAAGTTGCAAGGTTGCAAGTTGTTTACTTTACTAATTTGGAAAATGACAATTTTTGTCTCCGCTTCCCTTACCTTGGTAAAGGTTCTTGTTAGTCAGCTTGTATAGGGAAGCACCTTCACAAAGCAGTGGATGTATCGCTATCGTAATCAGTACAACCTCTAACATGTCATTCACAATAATAGAACATGCGATTTTAGCTCTAAATGTGTTTGACTTAATGTAGCATATTGCTACTCAAGCGTGACTGTCTCTTGCAAACCTTAAATCACTCTATTCTACCTGTGTGCAATCACTTTTTTTCACAGATGTCTGTCTGTCTGTGCGATACTTTTAGAGGTTTTGCTCCGCAGTATTGACAGTGCTTCTTGATGTAAAAGTTCAAAGTTAGGTTCCTCCGTTCAATTAAGGGTTTCGATATAGCTTTCATTCCTCAATCAGCAAGACGACTTCTCCAAAACACGTCGTCATAAACAAGATTCTCCGCTTTTATGGTAACACTCCCAAATGTTCCAGTCGGTATCTTCAAAGACCGTTGCAAAATTCTATTACATTTGCTGCTGCTTCTTTCTGTGCTGCTGAAACATATAAACCTATAAGCTTTAACCATGATCCACCATTTGGCTTGAAACTACCCGAATCGCATATAAGCGACGTCGAAAGCCAATCAGTACGGTATATTCTGCGCCTCCATTTTTCTTACCTATTAGGTTGTCTCATAAGTTTTTTTAATTGATGCCCAAAAAATTTTAAATCCTTCATATCTTTGCTTAAAGAAGACTTAACAGATCTTAAATTGCTCAAGCATACACACTCTACATAAAGGCGTTGTTCAGGTAGAAAATTACTTGAGATTCTAAACGTTTCTTACTGCGGCCTGCTGAATCCTGATCTGTCCCTCAAACCATCCAAAACTGCTAAATATTCCCCTTTTTCGATGGTCCTCTCAAAAGGGCGATGGACGAGTTCCGGATGGCGACTTGCCAACATGCCCGGTACAAGTCGTCAACTAGAGTGTCGTCAGACCAGTTTCGAAATTATAGTTGATTCGTTGACCGCACGGACTGGACATCACTAAGAGCACGCGCCGCGAGATGAAACGCTTGCTCCAGTAAAATTGCGCCATGATACAAGGTCATAGAATCAACGATATGATCATCAAAATTTTCATCTAATCTTCTTTGATCACGAAATCCTTTACGGAGTAGGGTTCATCAAGTCTGCGATTGTTCATCAGCACTGATTTCATACTAGAACCGTACTGTACTTATCATTTACACTAACAATTTTTGAAGGGAGCCATGATGAGTTGAAAAAGAGGTTCTAGAAAAAACTTTTTTTCATCAACCCGTACTTCTCTTTCCGTTTGTGACATGGATATAAATGGATGTGCGCTATATTGCAAAATGTTTCTGCCTTCAGTAATCTTCATCGGATTGAAAAACGCAGATTTTTGAAAATAGTGCGTCAAAGTGAGAACTCGCAAAACGCGGATTACTTTTGCATCGACCTAGTATTAAAACACACGATATGTGCATCGTAGCATCTCAAAGTTGTGTGACTGTTGTACTTCGCGAACAGTCGCGACAACAGTCGCGCAACCATCTTCAATGTGCAGGGCTTGATAGAGTTTACACAAGTGAAGTGATGCGCAAAGTTTTTGTCGCTTCAATTGAGTTGATCTTTGCTGCTTTTTTGAGTGTTGCAAAGCGATGTGATTCTTGGGCAGCGCCTCTCCCGAAGCCAGCGAAAGGACGAGATGTGCTCAAAATTGTTCGTTTTCACCTACCTCGCATACTGATGACTGCTAAGGAAAACTGTAAAAGGAGCGAGTGAATCGGGAGTCACAAGTAGTGCACCTCTTTTGGTACATCAAGGACAAGAATGTGTTCCAGAAAGTTAGGGACATGGACTTCCTTTTATCATTGATGTAAATTTGCTTACTATCTCCTTGTTTGTGTTCATACATCATCCTACTTTTGGGTTTATTGAAACTTTGTAGGAGGCAAAACCGCATTTTACGAAGCGAACTTGATTTGCTGGAACGGCCCCTTTCGGCTCAATGGTATTTGGAGAATGTCTAGCTAGCTACTTAATTTGTGACACTTAGGGAATGGCTAGCAGTCATGCCACTGTCTGTCCTTTGGCTCGCACACATGTTAGAAAAGCATGTGATCGGGGAATTTGTGGAGGTTTGTGCTTGTTCTCGGTTCTATCTTTCATTTAGTTTTATTTTTTTTTGATTTTTTCCCTCTTTCTATGCTGATTATGCATAGCATTTCTTTGGCAAGTTTGTAGGTGTCATGTAAATTGTTTTTTTTTCGAGAAGGCAGAACTACTAAATGGTTATAGTGCGTTCTTTTATCACAGCTCCATTTCTTCCTCGACGTTTGATTCCTGCGTGCGGGAGGTGAGGAGTGCATATAGATCTTTTTTTCGCTATATGCTCTATGGGCGACTCGTGGATGATCTTTATTCGCTTTTCGTTGAACTGATGCATCACCGTCCGCCTCATAATCACCCGCTCTCTACTCTCTTATGCTCTTTGCAGGGCATTGTGGTGCAATGTGGACATTGCTGCATAGAGTGCATGTGACGTCTAACCTGAAAGCGCCTATCTATTGTGAGGTAGCACTGTGTGTATGCTAACTTGCCAGATTTCTTTTAGACAGTAAAGACGGTCCAAAGAATGTTTAGTCTTGCACTAGCTAGTTCCACCGTGACTAGCCAGTGCGTGAGATCTATCTGGAATAGCCGCTGCATCACAATCTCCTTCAACTTACTGTGACAGGGACTTCCAACGGCAATCGCTTGCTTGCCCCTTTCCTCATCTGGTTGTAGTGCGGCGTGACTGCATTTTGTTATGTCGCCGGTAGCATCATCCTGTAGATCATCGGTTTCAAAAGTGTCGAAATACTGATTATGTTACCTTTACCCGCTCGTTGACTCCCGTAAAATGGTGAAGGCAGTTGAATGCGTGCTTCACGACATCATCATTGTGTGCCCGCCCACCCTGTTCTATAGCATCATAAAATTTCACTTGATGCTGGCGATCCACTCCGCAATTGTACGCAGTCACTCCGTTTAACAGCCTTGATTGTTCGCATTTAGACTGAAATAACGTTGGAACTCTTACCGCATGCAGACTCTTGCTTAGGTTTCTGTAGAGATGCCATGGGTCAATCTGCCATGTGATGATTGTCCCAAACCTGGTGTTGTACAAACTGATTTCTTTTCCGTATGTAGCATAGCACTCCTGTCCGTGGATGCCGTTCGGACTTTAATGTTCATTCGAACCATCTTAAAAGTCGGCAAAATGCCTCTTTTTTTATTTTTACGCTCACCTTACCTGCAATTTCCTATTTTTAAGAGACATATGGCGTAATTCATGTCACCCGTCTCTAAAGAGTGTACGATTTCGGTGTATGTACAGAGTTTGGTTTTCTGGCCTGTGTGAGGAGGCGACAAAGCTTTGCGCCAAGTTTCCTGGAGTCAATGGCGCTATTCACCACAATATCCCAAAGGGTAGATGCCCTTCGATCTAAATCTGCTTTTATCGCATAAGATTTTTCTTTTTCACCTCATGGGCGGCCTTAATTTCTTTGATGGTGCGTTCGTGTTAACTGTCGTGCATTGCCATAATCGATGGTCTTATGTAAGAATAAGGTGTGATATGTGCTACGACTAGGCAGTAATAAATCAGCCTCCTTAGCCCACTCATTCTCTGAAACAAATTTTCACCCTTCATCTACAGTAATTTCAACTAATTACAGTTCTACGTGCTCCGTTTTTACTGCTGCTATGCAGGCTACTGTGGTGCCATCAAACAACATGTCATTCTTATTCACACTCTGCTGCCCTTGCCACTTCTTCACTCACATCTGTCCTTTCGAATGTACTCAATTATTGGCACAGCTCCCCACTTATGTTGTTTGAGCCACAGTACACCATCTTTGCCGTCATTACTGCACCCGCATCGGGCTAGGTTGAAGAGTTTTAACAGCTTTCTTTCCGATAAAGAATTTGTCTAGCAGGGCATTATCAGTTTCCTCGAGTTTGAGGGCGTGCTGTCAGAATCAGTTTCCTTTTCGGGTGAAAAACACGTGCCACTCTAAACAAACTGTAGTTGCATCTTTTGCTGAAATCAGCGTAATATAACTTATATATCAGGATTTATGTGCAGGGTCAAGCGAGGCCGTGGCAGTGATCCTATTCAGAAAACAACGAGTAATTATTTTGAATAGGTGTAAATTACGTAAACAATGTGGGTTCAAATCATAGTTGAAGTGCAAACAGAACATGTCATCAAAAAACGAGAAGGCTCATTCTTGACCTTAAACGTTTTTTATAACTGTTTCTGCCGATGACCTGAAGCCAAAGTGCTTCACGGATGCGATGCTAAGTATCTTTTGGATGAAGCATGAGTTTTGATGTAAAAACGATGGTGTTTTTACGGGTTGGTGCTCCATAGCATTGCCACGCTCAGGATAGATGCAGGCTCTTTCTTTATTGTCTGAATACCTTTTACTATGACTCCTATGATAAAGATAGGTCGGGATGGGCAAACCACCTCCAGATGTGCAGGTTGCACCTTTGATGCTGCCCAGGGATAATCCAGCTGTTTTCAGCATAGTATTTTCTTATGTAGATGGTCAGATAACGAAAGATATCGTAAGTGCTAACCGTGACATCATCCTGGTATTTTTTAGTAGACTTTTGATTCATATCTCACAAGAACCAACTGTGAACGTTCGTACGATGTCATTCAAGAGAGCTGGAGTAGGCGGGCTGATTTCGGCTTTATTGATGTAAGCTACGTGGTCTGCTGCTTCGGATAGCTTTCCACCATTATGCATGCGCAATACATCATGACAGAAGTTTTTGCTTCTTTATTTTTGTTGAAAAATTTTCTGCATGACTCAGGGCGTTGATATAATGCTTGACAGACACATTTTCTTGCCTCGCATATAGCAACACAGCAACTTTAAAGCAGTTCTGGCCCGCCTCAGAAGTATTGCCTGTAGGCCTTGCTGCTAGATGAGGATGGTGTATTGCTCGTATATCTTTATTCCACAGAGAAAGCACGATCGCATGTCTGCAAAGCTTGAGGCTGCAACACTGAGATTCACTGTTGTCCACTGTAGAGGTAGTTGCTATGCAGAAAGCGGTGCTAATGCCAAAGAGGCAGTAGTCATCTCAAAGTGTTTATTTAGTTCGCTTATACAATCAAAACATCGTTCTCATATAGCCGAGCTCCGCTATCTTTGCGATGTGATCTTACGAGCAGGACCACTGCCCTTCAACTTCACGTCCAAGGAAAAGATTCTGAGATCCATTGCTAGATTCGCACTCAAACCATATTCGACATTGGCTGTGAACATTTCGTTGCACTATATGCCTTTTCCGCCCAAAACACATCCCGATAAAGTTCACTTTGGAAACCTAAGCCTTGGAAAGGCTAAAATTGAATCGGAAGTTTGATGCATTTTGAAATGCACAAAAAAGGCGTACGTATAATCTACAATCTTTTACTTTCAATCATATCATCAGAGCTTTAGCCATTTTCGTGTTAGTCTCTCATTGTCTTTTTCTTTGTCAGGCTTAGAGAGACTTTCAGAAATGATGTGAACCAAACTTTTCGCTCAGTCTGTAGCCTCCTTTGTTATTATTTTTTAATACTTGGTTAATTTCAAGGGACTATCTGAATAACTTTCTTGCTCCTAAGCAAATTCGGTGACTGTTTTATTCATTAATGATATTTTCCCAGTATGGACAAAATGTTACTGCAGCTAAAACTTATTGTATGTTGTACATTTATTCATCAATTTTGTACATCTTCACATCATAATGAAACCATTGCAAACTAGATCTATAGTAAAATGAAGTCAAAGATATCAAATATGAATGGGAAAACGACTGATTATTTAGAGGAATCGTCTTAAGAACTTTGTTGAGCGCATACTTGCGAATTTTTCTTTTTCAGCAATGTAAATGTGGTATGTTGTCATCTCTTCTGAGATGTCAACCACAAACCTATAACAAACTAGCAATCTTGCTCAGAAAATCCTACAAGAAGATTGTCTTTTGGTGTTGTTATGAAACTGTGCTTTAAATCAGCTCTGCGCAAAAGGAATTGACCTGGCCAACATTTTTGCACGGAAAAACTTTGAACAATGGATTCTCGTTTAAAATATCGTGAGCTCATTTGAATCAAAGAAAAATTAGCAATTTTACAAACAAGAATGAGGCTGCCTCTCTACTCCAAGAATTTTAATAACTTTGATTGTAATCGCTTCCAGTTCAGACAAGCATACGGTTGCGGAGTTTAGGGACAGACTCAAGCAAGCTGCAAGATGTCGCGAGCAGTAAATTCAGTAGAATCCATAAAGTCCAAGAAATTCATCAAGACCATAAAACTTGTAATGGGAAAAGGAAAGACCTAGCGTTCTTTTGAACTCGGTCGGCATAAAAGTAAGAGTGATTAGGTCGAGGTCTTACCTGTGCAATTTTCCAGCTCTTTTGCTGCAAGTCAGCCATTTCGCATACAGGGCCTATCAAACGCAGTGTCGCTTGCATCAGCATCTCCACTCCCGCGCTGGATTCTGCGTCTCTTCCGCGAACATGCTCTCCAATCACTTCCAATCGATTGAGGCTCCGCCTTTTCCACGCTCGCCCTGGGAAAGTGATCAGAGAGCTTGAAGAGTTTGCTGAAGAGATGCAGAGTCCAGCGAGGGAATGGTGATGTTGATGCAAGCGGCACTGCGTTTGCTAAGCCCTGTACGCTCCTCATCAATACCTCAAAACCCTCAGATCTAACAATAAGAAAACAAAAGAACATTATACGCACCAAGAAAATCAAACTTCGTGAACAAAGAGAAATGTAATATACTTAGGCATGGTGTGCGTGCAAAAACAACCCTCGCTTCTCCATTTATGTATGCTTTGCGAAAGCACAAATTTTTGAGCAGCAATTATACCGACAGAAATTTAACGCTACTCACGCTACTCAACGCTTAAAACATGGTAATAGTCAAAATAGAACAGCTTTATATTCTGTACAGAGTTACATCAATCAAAACAAAACAACATTCAAGATCACAGGTAACAAACAATTTTTTATGGATCCAAAAGTTGTAAAAGAAAATTGTCAAAGTTCAATATAATCCCTGTCTTTTCTCCGCAGTTGCTTTCTCTTTCAGTTGCGGAAGCGACAAACACCAGGATGAAGCCAAGGAGTTTAAACAATTAGCAGGGTGTTCAAAAAATCAAATAAATCAGAAAAAAACCAGGAAAGCTGGTTTGACAAATTGATAAGTATTCAACTAAAGGAATTTTCTCACTAATTAGTGAAGACTAGCACTCCCTTACAATCGTCCTCCAAAATCTTTAGAAACAGAAAAAGCGATGAAAGTTTTTGTTTACAGCTGGTATGCTGGATACTGGACGAAAGCGAGAAGGCACGAGAAACAGGTCGCAAAAAGATAACACTCCAAGCTATACAACAAAATCGCTATAGACCAGAAAAATAGAAAATTAGAAAATACTTGGTTCAACACGTATACACGATTCGTGGCACGCAAAGACTGGGCGCCGTTGCGTCCGGCCAAGATGGTTTGTGCATGGGAAAGACAGCAGATGATAAGAGAAACGAAGGAGCGCTTGGTCAGAGAGACGCCGATACGTCCGCAATCTTTGCGTGCTTTGAGTTGCCTGTACACATAATTACGAAAATTCACGTCAACAAAGTTACCACCGAAAAAAAAATACCTGTCCTACTTAGATCCCAAGTGTAAACAGCGAAATTCCATAAATACAAACAAACACTTGGGGAAGAGTGAAATGAGTCAAATTTTTACTTATTCAAATTTTTTGTAGCAATGGCATCAACTGGTTCATTTCATTCTACGATACGTCAACTGCCATGCGCGCCTGGTGCTGATGCTGCAGCCTGGGTACTTGCTCAATGGGCGAATTAGAGGAAGACTCACCATTGGAGGCGGGATCGGAGTACAACCCCTTTTTTGTACGCTCGTCCAAAACGATTTTCTCGCTTTAAAATCTGCTTTTGTTGATGGGACCTGGACCGTTGGATTTGTCAGTATCGGCACACTCTACTGCTTGAAGATCATACCGCCCTTAGTAGACCTGGATAATGCTTAATTCCATACATGCGTTGCCGTGTTTGTTTTTGTACTAAGAAAGAAAAAACTGGAAGTTCCAAGCTTCCAAAAAAGCGATGCTGCGCTGTTGCCACATACGTAAATGTATACCACAGGCCTTCAGAAATACATTGGTGAAACTTCAGCCTCCCAGAAGGGCTACTTCTTAAGAAATACCAGATTTAGCGCTTGGTGCTAGGGTATCTTGGCCAAGAGAGAGGTTGAGGGTCCAGATTCTTTTCTTTGTCGTATCTAAAGTACAACAATTAGAATCAGAATCATAAATTGATTACTCACCCCACTCTGGCAATGAAATCGTCACACATTAGATTGAACTCCTTTCTGTCTCCAATGGAAATGTTTATGATCCTGATATACTCCGACAAAACTTTGTTTTGGATAGATTCCTCGCATTGGCGGCGTCGTTCTTCCATCTCTAAAAAATGTAAAATAAACTAAGAGAGCACACATGGAACAACCATCTTACAAAACGAACGAAAAGAGAATGACTAATATGTAGAATTTTAGGCCAAACGGCAATTTTTGTTTAAAGGACGTTCCTATAACAACTAGTTGGATCCCTTAGCTACAGTAAACCAAAGTGGAGCATGTTTGCCAAGAGCCACTTAATCACTTCCACTGTTACAAAACGACTTATGCGTCTAAGAAAACAAGGAAAACTGGAATTTAGACATATGACGAAAACAATTAGTTACGCAATATTAGAAATAAAGACAATTTTGCTATTGAATTTTACAAGTATTTTTTTTTTGCCCTTAGAGTGCATCCAACTAATCCATAAGTAAACAATTATAAGTGTTTATTGCTTGCATAAGAATAAGTACTATGTATCAAACACAAAGGGATAGGTTGTGTACCTTACGATGGTGGGTTTAGTTTTCCTTCCTTTTTCCTTTTTTGTCTTTTCCTGGGTACTACCGATGGGGTTTACACAAGTAGTCACTGGCAAGGGAGGGTAAGTGCTACGCCTCCGGTAGCTATTCTTTCAAAGGGAGCGCCAACCCCTGGGAGCAGTCCTCCTGAAACTTTAAGTAATTTTCCCTCTGGTATGGGATGGGGCCCTTCTATACCTTAGATCTAAGCTCAAAAACAATACAAAAACAAATGGTTATTCCCACTCTTACTTTCAGGGTTCTACTTTCTATAAACGTAAGGTATCCGGCAGGTACAACCTACTGAATTTCGGCAACGATAATAAGGGCCCAAAATGTAATCAATCCTGTAACATATGCAATAAAATAGACTATAATATCCACTTCTGCGCAGTCTCGTCAGCGAACATCCAGACGACTCGCAATTCGTAATCCTATGCGAAGCAATAACAATGACAATAAGGTCCCTTTATGTATGCCATTTGTCTCCGACAGTTTCAGTAAGGCAGTAAACCGATGTATAGTACGAGCACAGTTAGATAATGAGGTAATGCTGGTCAACATTCCTAGTAGTAACATCAGAAAGCGGTTGATCAGGAATAGATTGTATGACGTAGATTGTATATCAGAGGAATGCATCGTTTGCCCTTACGGGAAACTAGGTGATTGCGCGAAAGAAGGAACTGTTTATCAGTTGGAATGCCTGGACTGTGGCACGACGTATATAGGAGAGACGGGAAGAAGTTTAAGTGTTAGAATAAAAGAACACCTGGCTAACAAAAGACGAGGAAATCTGTCATCACCGTTAGGCAAACATAAAATCGAGGCACACGATGGGAGTGATTTTAATGTGAAGTGTACAATTCTAGAGCATGAGGTTGAAATTTCGGCACGAAAGTTACTAGAGGCCGCATGGATACAGGCCGGAAATCCGGGAATGAACAACAAAAATGAACGCGTGACAATAACGGCCGATCTCTTGCCTCTTATGTCACTATGTGACCTTGAACCCGACAATATATATAGTCCAAGACTCACTGAGCAACCTCAGTGATGTCCGTCACATTCGTGCGGACTACTGACTCCATGGTGGACTAGAGGTTGGTGAATCCATTTTGGATTGTTTCTCGGCACGTTGCGCCTCGACAAGGTTCAAACGACGGAGGCCTGACGAGGCGTTTGGTCGTATAGACTAACAGATAATATAACCGCAATCCCCTTTCAGACCTCCGAAGAAGACGGTAATTGTCGAAACGTAGGTCAAGAATAAAGATCCACCACAAAACCTGGTTGGCAGAACAACACTATACAATAGACTATAATAATTACGTAATATCACAAGTCACTGGATTTGAAATTTACCTATAAACACACAATGTGTACCTGTAATTCAAAAAATATTGTATACTGCATCAAATGCGGTACTTGTGGTTTACAGTATGTTGGAATAACCACTCGAAAACTCAGGTAAGAATCAAAGAACATATTAGAGGTATAACCAAGGAAAGCGATAATAAAATATTATATAGACATTTTAAGGAAAAAGGATGCAATACAGTGCTGGCCATAGCTATAAAGCCACCCTAAAAATCACTGTAATTTGCTCTCTCTTGTTCAAAATTGTTTGAAAAACCACTATCCCGTGTGCAAACTAACGTCATATCATTAACCAGGAGGCTCCCAATTTCAATGATTTTGGCCGGAGAAAACTTGAAAAATTTGAAAAAAGGGGTTCCCAAGGCTGGTCACAGCTATAAAGCCACCTCTCATTTCCAGTCACTACTACGTTTTTTGAATCTGAAATTTTTTGTACATATACAACATTAAAATATGAAACATTTGTTATACTTGGAAGCAGTCGCCTTTTTAAAAAGAAGATTCATCCTGCATTTTTTGCTTCAAAATTTATAAAAACTTATGATATTTGGAAAAACTGCCTTTTCACCGAGTTCTTGAGCATTTGTTTGACTCGGATGAAGGTCCTAGGCTTCGCCGAGCCTTTGCAGTGAGTATGGTGAAAAGCGCAGGAGTCAACATGGCGTAGTTGCTGATATTGATAAACGAGCCTCAACCTCACCTTCAGATAGACGAGTTTTCGAACCGCAGAAATGGAGTTCTAATGCACGAAAAGCTCTGTCACGTGCTATGCACGTCGCCTGTAGAACGATAGACTCGTGCGCATAGTTTGAACGTCAACGCAACTCTCAGGATTTTGGTTCCGTCTTGGACGCCTTTTTTCCAAAAATGAGTGGTGCACTCTGCCCGATCATGACACACTCTGACCTCTCGATCGAGAGGAAAACCCTCAAAACTTCAAAGTTCTAGTATTTTTGAAAATTCTGTAAGATTTGACTTGAAGAGAAGTTCAAAGCAGTAAGATTTGAAGTCATGTGAGATACACTGCGCACAACCGAACTGCAGACAAAAGTTCTGAGTTCAATGTTGCAAAAACGTTTTTGTAAAAAGCCTGATAGCTTCTGTGCATAAGTATTCACCATGCAAGCAAGGTGTCAACTTCCAACCGAAAATTTTCGCGCGTCAGAAATCGAGTTTTGCGTCTCAGAAGCCTGTTTACACCTCGATAAGATGAGGCTTGTTTATCAATATCAGCTACTACGCCATGTTCACTCCTGCGCTTTTCACCATAATCATTGCGAAAGCTCGGCGAAGCCTAAGACCTTCATTCGAGTCAAACAAATGCTTAAAAAATTCGTGAAAATGCAGTTTTTCCAAACATTATAACTTTTTATACATTTTGAAGCAAAAAATGCAGGACGAATCTTCTTTTTACGAAGACGACTACTTCCAAGTGTGATAAATGTTTTAGACTTTGATATTGTATATGTACAAAATTTTCAGGCTCAAAAAACCTAGTACTGATTAGAAATGAGAGGTGGCTTTATAGCTATGACCAGCCTTGAAAAGCCCTTTTTTCAAATTTTCAATTTGGCCAAAATCATTAAAATTGGGGGCTGTCCTGGTCAATGATATGTTGTTAGTTTGCACACAGAATACTGGTTTTTCAGACAATTTCGAACAAGAGAGAGCAAATTAGAGTGCTTTTTAGGGTGGGTTTATAGCTATGGCCAGCACTGTAGTAAGAATATTAAAATACTAGCTGGCTTACCCGGCTCCGCCGTATCCGGACCAAACTTGGCACACATACACTTCGGGCCCCGGCGGGTGTCATAGTCCACTTTTCGTTATCGATCGATATCGATTTTACCGATTTTTATCGATTTTTTGGCAGAGTTCACCTACAGGGCTAGGAGTTGGCACAGGGGGGAAGTGAGCATGGGGATTCCGAATACAATATTAGTTTTCAGAATTATCGATTGCTTTTATTGATTTTATCGATTTTTTGGCAGAGTTCACCTACAGGGCTAGGAGTTGGCACAGGGGGGAAGTGAGCATGGGGATTCCGAATACAATATTAGTTTTCAGGATCGTCCATTACTTTTATCGATTTTATCGATTTTTTTGCAAAGTTTGACCTGCGGGGTTGGGAGTTTGCACAGAGGGTAATCGAGCATGCAGATTACGAATACAATATTAGTTTTCAAGATCGTCCATTACTTTTATCGATTTTATCGATTTTTTGAAAATTTGAGCTAGGGGGCTGGAATTTGGCACAGGGGTGTTCGAGCATGCTGATCACCCCCCTTGGGGATGATCAGCATGCTCGATTACCCCCCTGTGCCAACTCCCAGCCCCCTAGCTCAAACTTTGCAAAAAAATCGATAAAATCGATAAAAGTAATCGATAATCCTGAAAACCAATATTGTATTCGGAATCCCCATGCTCGATTACCCCCCTGTGCGAACTCCCAGCCCCGTAGCTCAAACTTTGCAAAAAAATCGATAAAATCGATAAAAGTAATCGATAATCCTGAAAACCAATATTGTATTTGGAATCCCCATGCTCGATTACCCCCCTGTGCCAACTCCCAGCCCCGTAGGTGAACTCAGCAAAAAATCGATAAAAATCGATAAAATCGATATCGATCGATGACGAAAAGTAGCCTATGACACCCGCCGGGGCCCGTAGTGTATGTGTGCCAAGTTTGGTCCGGATCGGTTCAAAAATGGAATTTTCTATTCGGAACATACGTACACACAGACATACAGACAGACAGACATACAGACAGACATACAGACAAACAGACATTCAGCTTTATATATAAGATCAATCCTGGACAACTTACCAGAAAATCAAGACAAAGAAATACTTAGAAACAAAGAACTATGTTGCAAAAGGCTATACTTGAAAATAATAATGGAAGAAATGGGTTTAACTACACATAATAATGACAATCGTATATATGATAAGGTTGAGCAATCCAATATTGAAGAAATCATTAACGTACATATTCTTTTACTAAAAATATGCAAATTAATATCAACGAAGGTTGTAATATACCCGTTATCTATTGCTTACCCTAACTACATAAAAACCCTATAAAATTTAGGTTTACCTGTGGTGCGTATGACAGCAATACCAAACCCATAACAATTGAGTTGTTAAACCTTGTTAATTTTATTAGAAATCACTTCAGAAACTATGCAAACACTGTTTTTAAGAATAAAAAAAGCTTACAAACCTACGGGCTATTAATGATATCAATATATCATCAAATCTAACAGACATACAAGCTAAAAACAAAAGACTCTTCTCTGCTGATTTTACCAACATGTTCACTAATATTCCCCAAAATATCATTATTCATAATCTTAAAGAAATTATCAAACTATGTTTCAAAAATGCCTCCAAAAGATACATAAAAATCAATAATAATCATAGAGTCATGTACTCCTCTGAACAAGAAGATAATGACGGTTATAGGTACTATAGAGTTGAAGATCTAATTTATCTTCTAGACTATATATTACAAAACAGCTTCTGCCGAGTAAGCAAACAACTATTTCATAAAAAAGTTGGAGTTCCTCAAGGAGGTAATGCTAGCCCTATAATCGCAGATCTTACACTTTCATACTTTGAATACACATTTGCATTCAACAAACAAAATCCAAATTTCCTATTCCATGCATACCGATATATGGATGACATACTTATTATTCACAATAAAACCTAAGAGTACATAAAGTCTTTATTGAAAAAAGTTTATAATAATGTCTTAAATATGGAAACTACCAACACCACAATGTATGAGTGTAACTTTCTAGACCTATACATCCTTATTGAAAATGATATTATCATCACTAAACAATATAATAAAACAGAAGATTTTGGTTTCGAAGTTGTAAGATTTTGTCACGGAACTACTTACATAAACTTTACACTAAAAAGTGCTATTATCTACAAGAAGTTTTAAGAATCTACAAAACATGCACGAAATTCGAAGATTTTTATGAAAGAATTAAAAACTTGGTAAAGTTGTTACTCAAATTAAATTATAGCAAAGAAATCATACAACTAGGAATTTTCAAGTGTATCACCTTCAACAAATGTATTGGGTTGTTTCAAAAGTTCTACCCGTTTTCGAACTTTGAATTTGATTTACCATAACTCTTCTCAGAAATAATCTTTGCAACTGCTATAAACTGTGTTACAATCTGCATATCTTTGGCTATTCTGCGCACTCTTCAAGATTATTGCAGTAACAGCGGAGAAGATTTTATGGGCGAAAATCGAGGAACATCTTGTAGAAACTTTCACTTTGCAAAGGCATAACTTGATTTGGAATACAGCTGAGTTGCACTAGCACTGCTCACAGTGTAGCCCGTAATCGACTGAGTAGTACCGCTAACTTTGGATTTCATCAAACTCTTTCATAAAAATTTTGTGCTATAAAATCTGAAAGGACCCACTTATTTTGCTCTTTCTGAGGTGGCAAAAAATGCAATTTTTTGACATTTTTGATTTTGTTCGCCGTTGACAAACCAGGAAACCTTTTAGTTCTTCTAGTAGCAGTTGTTCTAGCTCTAGTCTTACTATATAGAGTAAAAGCTCCGTGACTGCAATATGTTTATGATTTTTATGCGACTTGAAGGGACCATAAAGACAGGTTATGTTTGAGCTAAAAATTTGTAGGTTCAAAATTTTTCTGAATTCATATCTCGATGAGCGTTTCGTAGCACAGATCTCAAGCAAGTATTATGTATGTTTTAAAAGAACTTTTTTTTAGCTGTAGATTTTACGACGGTAGAGCAAACACGAAAATTTTCACATTTGTTTCGCTGTCTTTTCAAAGTACGCAACCACACAGCGAACAAAGATCTATGAAAATGAAAATATGCCTGAAAAACTAGAAGAAAAGAGCCATTGAATGATATAAGTATTGTTTATGAAAAATGGTTTCTTCCTCCAAAATGGGCAGTTCAAAAAAAGGTATCGAAAACGGGTAGAACTTTTGAAACAACCAATATTACATACAAGTACATTCAACTAAGCAATTTCAAAAATGTTAAAAAGTTCGTTTTCAATACCATAAACAGTTTGATCTGACTCCTCGGCCTATCCTTTGATCTATTTGAGCTACCCCACAGGTATAAAAGGCGACCTCGTTACAGATACCACTATTCCTTCTCCGCCCACTCCTCCCTACTGATGAGCCTCGGGAGTGGTCTTATACAGTTTTCTGTCTAGGGGTAGAGGCGAAACAGGATCTCAGTTGAAAAAATTATGTTGAGATCAACATTTCTCGGAAACCACAACTTATAGAAAGCTGAAAATCTATGATCGTACTTTTAAAAGCTTGTGCATACATTTACCAATGTGAGAACAGCCAGCATCGGTTGTTGGAATCTCAAAAATTTTAGTTTTCTCAATTTCTAGCACAGAAACAGCACATCAACGGTATAAATGAATGTTCCATGTGAAGTGTATACGCGTAAGCGAGTTTAGAAGCTGGCAAGTTTTCTTTGAACAAAGATGTTGAAAAAAATCCAATTCTTCGGACTTCCGAAAGTTTTCAGATTCTGGCTTTTAACTCGTGACTTGCTGAAGCTGATGCGAGCACTTACATGACATCTTGTAGACCTCTCTTTGTTCTACAAAAGGTACCCTGCAGTCTAATCAGAATTGAGAAGTATATGACTTAATGGGTAAAAATTCAAAATTGGGAAATTATGAGACAACCTATTTTTGGACTTCACTTTACTTTTGAGTAAGCAAGTTCTGGACTACAGCTTCTAACATAGCAAACTTAATGTTTGTGTATGTGTCTAAATTTTAGGGTGCTTCTAATGGAAGGCTGCCCTTTTACAAGAAGGCATGCGACAAGATGGCTGAGAAACACCCTTCATACTACATAAATATCAGACATGTTTCATATAAAATCTCGAGTAAAGTCTAAGGCGTCCCCGAAGGCGACGCGCATTCAACCCGGACGAGTGCGAATAGTGGGCGATGGTTACCAACTCACCGAGGTGAACGAGACGTTAAAGTGGCTAGTTCACCAGAGGCAACGATCCAAAAAACCAAATTTTTCGCCTAGCTACCATCAACATAAGACTCTCACCAGACGCGATGTACAACCTAAGAGCGCATGCAGAAGTGAAGAAAGTTACATCACAGGAACAGCACTACTTTTGGAACGTCAGGGTAGATGGACAGAATTAAGGCTGACTTGCGAGAGAATGGAATAGAAGAAGATCTTGTTTCAAACAGATATGTGGAAACATCTGAAGAGCAGAACCCGCATAACTGGAGCACATGCGAGGATAAAAAACTCATTTTACATAGTAATATGGTGCCATATAGCTTTCCTCAGGTCTCTCTGAGGAAAGGAAGGAACGAGAAAAGATTCTGATTCATGCTCTAACGTCAATAGAAGGCGCCTGCCGCGCTCTAGTGCAAACCGCCCGCTCCACTTCAGATTCAAATTCACAAACTGGGCGTTTAGTAGGAGAGGACGTCTACACTCGTTTAATGGGTTATAGTTTGATAGAATTTACTTAATGTTCTTATTATAGAAAGTTCATCTTGGTAACGCGAATATGGCGATAATATCTCCAGAGCACTTCATCCAAACCTGAATGACGTCTTCATTTAGGTCCCTGACCAGAGGGGGTTTGTATGTCACCGCATAAAAATCTGGAGGGAAGATTTTGAATTCTTTGACACATTGAAAATTTTAAAAAAACAATTTCACACCTTTTTTAAAAAGGTGGTAAAACGCGAGATTTGAGAAATTTCATACTAAGGGATTCTCAGGATTTGCATGTACTAAGCATATTGGGTAATTTCGTTGAGCACGAACATCAAATCTGTTAATGGGTTAAAATTATCATAAACTCCTCTACCATACACGAATGAACGTCACCCTAGACCAAGTTTCTGCCAAATCTGTGACTATAAATTTACCTCTGTTACGTATATCAGTGGCGGACCAAGTGGCCCCCCCCCCCAAGAATGTGTCGCGAAATTTTTGAAACCTACCTATATGCGTTATAAAAATGTGCAAACGACTTGTTTATTTTTGTAAATAATTAAAATAATCTTTGAAATTTTCAAAAAATTAGCCTCACAAAAAATTTTCTTCAGGGGCGTGGGGTTGGAGACACGCAAATATTTTGAGAAGCACCCAAAAATTTTTTCGGAGTGCGTGGCTGACGTCACGCACCTACATCTGCAAAAAAAATTTTGTCACGTTCCCCCCCCCCCTCCGGTCCGAAATCCTGGGACCGCCACTGCCGTATACCTATCGTAACCATTACTGCATTTGTAAAATTTGACAAAGCAATGGTTGTATTTGCAGCCGACGTCATAGCCATTTGTACGAAAATTTGCATTACTTACAACCCGATATGTCTGAAAATCTGGGAATCTCCTGTGGGGCAATGCTCACAATGTCAAGAAATTTGGTGACCACGTAATTCACGTTTTTGTTCAATGTGAATATAAAATAGCAAATGAATAATAATCATAAAGTAGCTTCGCTTTTCCACTCATTATCATTTCAACGCAACGCCATTTATTCTATCACAAGGCAAGGGAATGAAAATTGGGAAAGATCACAACAACAAAAAATGGTTTGCATTTACAAAGACTAGAATCAACATATTCTGAACATTTCGGATTTTGTTATAATTCTCTACACAGAAGTTACTGAAGAAATAATAAATGCGACCTTCTGCCAATAACGTCTTCTTGAGATCAGGCTAGGTCCCACTTAAAGCTCAGAGAAAAACGTTTGTATCGTTCTGTCATAGACGCAGCAGTACAAGCCTTGGTTGTTCTGGATAGAAGGACTGTGAGCGTTTCATGAATGATGGACCTTCTTCGTTGATCAGTAGGAATCTATTCTTTTGAGGAGCACAGTAGGCACTGAAAAAAATATGATGTACGTATATAAACAATACTTGCATTTATATTTTTCTAGAATTTGGTAAGCGTTTTGTTTTCTTTCGAGATGGCATCAACTAGCTGAAGTTTTGATGGCGCCGCAGACCTCTCAGACCAATCAAGACTCAAAGATCCCAATTTTTTTTTCCATAGAAGGAATGAAAATGACATTGAAAGAAGTTTTTGCACGACACGAGTTGAAGAGTAAAAAAAGCAAGCTCTCGTGAAAAGCTGTTTCTAGCTTAAAGGCAGTGTCTCACCAAAGTTGAGGTCGCCGGATCTTCACATATTATATTATAAGGACGTTTAAACAGGTCATTGCAACGAGTTCCACTCAATTTGACCCCCTCCACGCTGAAAAAAATTCGCATAAAGTGGTACGCGGAGAGCGAGCTGGTACGCGAGACTCCTTCGGTCTCCCTCCTTACGCGTTTGAACATGTCCCTCCACTTGGCATTCACCTCCCCTCTGTTGCTGCCACTGTGGCTGAGGCTGAAGTTGGAAGGTACAACTCGTCCACGTTGCTTCCGCGGGGCCTCCAGAAAACGGGGTTTTTGGGAACTTCGTGCGATTTCAAGCCCATACAGTATTAGACAAGGTCCGACAGCCATGCAAAATGCAAAAATCTCGACAATTAAATTTTGATGAGACACTGCCTTTAAACGCAGAGAGTCAAAAAAAGTCATTACCATCTTCCAGAAGAACTTCACACAGTGTAAAAGACTTTCTAACCATTTGAGCGCAGTTTTTAATGCTGTCATTTTTTGATTAATTAATGTTGGTTGCGTTTTTTTAATCAAATGGTTGACAAAAAACGATTTTTTAATTTTCAAAGCCCACGCCTCGTCATTCAAAAGTTTCAATTTTAGGGAAGTAAACAAATAATGGGAGCATTATGGTTTAGCACAAAATTCGTATAAAAGTACTTTGATATGACATGTTTATTGTTTCGATCTTTCAACGTAAAGGATTCGAATTCTCATAGAACTTCATTTGGAGAATCTCATTTTCGTGCTGAATAGAATCCAAAGGAAGAAGAATCTTTCTTGCGAAAATTCAAATCCCCCTCCCATTAGTTAGCTATATTCTAGTGGAAATCTTATGCGCCTTATGAATAAGAAATGCAATCAAAGTTGAAAAGTAACAAGATGATTCTGGAAATCCTTTATATAACTTACCCCGAATATATAGCAAGAATCACACACAAGCAAGCAATGAACAGTAGCCGATGGCATACCATAACCTGCAAGAGGAAACCCATAAAGATACATAAATTTTCGTATACGATAGATAACGAAATGCATATATAGCACATCACAAATAACAAGAGGATTGGTCAGTGTTTTGGTCGCCATCACTCTTAGTGCCTAAGAGATTTCGCACATGATTGAAGCTGTCACTGGTGGTTCATGCAAAAAATGACAATGTCGGGGCTATGAATAGCAAGTCTCGGAAGTAACATGAACTTAAGACGTAAGATGATGTCATAGGAGAAGTAATGGTGAAGTGCTTCGAATTTAAGGACCGTAAATGGACTAGCAGGAATCAATGGGCTGATTGCGAGATATTGAGGACGGATCCTTGCAAATTTTTGAAAATTTTCGCTTTACATGATAAGAATAATGGCTTTGTCAGTAAAACTTCCTGATCTTATATTTAAAGCTGAATGTCTGTCTGTCTGTCTGTCTGTATGTCTGTATGTCTGTACGTATGTGCGGAATAGAAATTTTTATTTCTGAACCGATTTGGACCAAACTTGGCACACATATACTTCGGGGCAGGGAGCGTGTCATAGGCTACTTTTCGTTATCGATCGATATCGATTTTATCGATTTTTTGCAAAATTTGAGCTACGGGGCTGGGAGTTGGCACAGGGGGGTAATCGAGCATGCTGATCACCCCCGTGGGGGTGATCAGCATGCTGGATTACCCCCCTGTGCTCAAAATTTGCTGGGAGCTCAAAATTTGCAAAAAAATCGGTGAAATCGACATCGATCGATAACGAAAAGTGGACTATGACACGCTCCCTGCCCCGAAGTGTATGTGTGCAAAGTTTGGTCCCGGGCGGAGCCGGGTTTGCCATCTAGTATTGTATATAAAATATGAGGGCAGAAAATTTCACAAAATGGTGATAAGACAAAGTCCAGCGCTATATTCTCCTAATTCTTCCTAATTCCAGTATACTTCAGATACTTTAACTCAAGAACCTCGCAAAGGACTTGGCATTCAAGAGATGCAGCAAACTTTTTCATAATGCACGACATATTGAACAAGATTGTTGGTAGGTAGAAATTTGGAAAAACTCCCATTATAATGGGTAAAATAAAAGTTGCGTACTTTTTTCATAGATCACATTCTTCATTTCTCTTCAACAGCACCGGCATTTGCAAATTTTCCAAGTAAGTCAAGGCAATTTATTATACCTTACTGCCTTAAAAAGTAGCGCTTCTCCAAAATGTGCTTCGTATCGAAGTATCTCCACAATCAACTCTTCGCTTCTCTGGATCTCTTATTGTGAGAAGAAAGCCTCCATTCCCAAAATATCTTCGCGCATCCCATACTCATCCACTTCATTTACTTTGCCCACTTCAACCTTTGGAGCTAATAAGCTGTTTTTGTTTCGAAGCTGAGGAAGTGGATGAGAAAAGTTACCGCGTGCTCAGAATTGCATGAAGAAAAAAACGTTAGTTACAGACATAATGTTTCAACTCTTTCAATGCCCTTTTTCTGAATATTACAATAATGAAATCGGCAAATTATAATATCCTACAAATAAAACTTCAAAAGAATAGACTGAAAATAGGATTTTTAAGAGTTGTGTTTTGACGTTTTCAGTCCCTACTCCTTGAGCTCATAAAAAATGAAATTAGCAAAGATAGCCTGCTGTAGCCTATAAATAGATTCTGCTTTGTACGAAGAGATCATTGAGCGAAAATGAGAAACAAGGATGAACATAATTAAAATTAGGGCCATTAAAAAGAGCCCTTCACGACTTCCACTACATGAGTATTCTGACTCGCACTTCTGCTCCCGGAATTTGAGGGTTCAAGGATGAGAGTTTTTACAGAAACTTTGATATAGTATAGTTTATTTGAAGGAAATTAAAAATACATGATCAGGAAAAAAAATTAGCATTTCATTTTAAGTGCAGTGCCTAAAGAAGTGGCGGTCTCGAACAATACATAAAATAAACTGATATTTGTATCTCAAAGGGCATTAATCAGACATATGCGAGGTCTTCCACAGATGTAAACACTGAGCACTAAATGTGCTATGTTTATTTATCAAGAGGCAACCATAACAGCTCAAAATCATTCCAGACGCCTACACTGAAGCGTTTTATAATATAAGCTGCCTGTCCATGTATTTACGCCCCATAAAACTATATTTGTCCACAGAGTGCGGAAAACATGATCGTAAACAAAATCACGTCAAAGTGCCACGGATTAATAAGTGAGTAGTCAGCTTTATATGGACACCGCCGAATTTGCGTGGGAGTCTAGTTGGAGTGTATAATGAGATTTTACTAACAGCTTTAGCCCTGTTATATTTGGGTGAGCATGATTAAAACGACATGATTGCATCAAAGCGAAAAGCTGAGTCATGAAGGCCTATGTATTTCGACTGAATTTTCTTTTCCAGAACCTTACATATAACGGGTTCAAGAAAGTAAAAGATTTTTGAAAAAAAAAGCAATAGTTAATTTCTATATCTTCAGTGCTATAATCAAGGCCTGTTCCTTGTCTTTCGCTTTGTGTTTCTTTACATATGCAGCAGTAGCGGTCCCAGGATCTCGGACCGAGGGAAAGGGGGCGACAAAAATTTTTTTAAAAGTGAGGGTGCGTGGCGTTAGCCACGCACTCCAAAATATTTTTGGGGTGCTTCTCAAAATTTTTGAGGGTTCCCATCCTAAAATCTGGAAAAACGGAGCGTGGCGTCAGCCATGCCCCCGAAAAAAACTTTTTTGTAAGGCTAAATTGAATTTTTAAAAAATTTCAAAAATTATTTTAATTATTTACAAAAATAGCAAGTCGTTTGCACATTTTTACAACCCATATAGGTAAATTTCAAAAAGTTCGCGACCCATTCTCGGGGGGGGGGGGGGAACCACCCCCCCCCTCTTCGGTCCGCCACTGATATGCAGTAGATTATATTGAGATGGGTGTGAATATTTGCGATTATTCTTGGCATACTAAAAATGTATATTTGAAAAAAGAAAAAACTCCAAGTATTCCACTGAAAGGCAATTTTCGTAAGCATTTGGTGCGAACTTTCTGAAGTCACGTCGATACATAAGCTGAACCCCAAAATCGGAACTCCGTAAAATCTTTTATCCTGACAAACATAGAATAAAGAACTTCTCGCGCTTCAAAAATACTTGACGCAAACTATTTCAATGCCATATCCGGAAGGTACAAGCTGATAAAAATAGCACCAAAGTGGATTTTTGAACTTTACTCGCTAACATTGAAAACATCTACTAAAATCCCATTTTTATTCTGCTGCTGGTGTTTGACATGCTTTTTCTATACAAAAAATTCTTTCTGATCGGACGTTTATAGGAATAATTACATTTCATTAAACTTTTTGCTTTCAAGTCGGACAAATCTCTGGCATTTATTACAATATAGAGCTTATGATAGATTGTACAGAGAGATGATGAGATTTGAAAAACTTTATCTGAACTGTCTGAAACGAATTTTAATTATTGGTGCAAGAATTATGTATCATCCTTTTTGGTGTCAACTACACCCAACCTTCATTTATGTAAAGAGCAGGATCATCCTATTTGTAACTTTCTGACAGTATCATTGATGTCGTGCTGGCGACAGTGGCGGACCGATGGAAGGGGGGCGAGGGGGAGGAGCGCCCCCACCCCCCCCCCCCCCCGAGAATGGACTGCGAAATTTTTGAAATTTACTTACGTGGTTATAAAAATGTGCACGTGACTTGTTTATTCTTGGAAACAATGAAAATAATTTTTGAAATTTTTCAAAATTCAAATTAGCCTTATAAATTTTTTTTCGAGGGTGTGGCCGACGCCATGCTCCCTTATTCCAGATTCTAGGGGTTAGGGTCCCGCAAAAAACTTCTAGAAGCACCCCTAAAATTTTTTCGGAGGGCGGTGACTGACGCCACGTCTCTTCATTTGAAAAAATTTATTGCCCCTTCTCCCCCCCCCCCCGTACGAAAATCCTGGGACTGCCACTGGCTGGAGAGTATTCAGAATGATGAGAATTTTATGACAAAGATAAACTAAGAGTTACACCAACAAATATTTATCAAAGATATTTTCCTCAAAAACAATTTTCAAAACGTGAATCATTTGAATACGTAGTTAAAACTTGGATTGTCCAACATTGTGCCTATGGAAGATGGAATGAGGAAAGAGCGGATAAAAAGCTATTACATATACATAGCTGACATCCGTTCTCTATTCGCAACAGGAAAGCTTGATATTTGCATGCAAATGAAATTTACAGAAAGCTCGCATTTCATTGTGAATCGTCCTAGAATCTCAATAAAAACCAGAGTGGTAAGGCTTCCGGGTTTTACTGAGATAAAAATTTTGTCTAGACGCGCACGAGCTGCAATTAAATATAGGTAGAAAACACAGAACATGGTAGAGCTACCTCAAACCAACCTTAAATGTATGTGATGGTATGATATTATTGTTGCTAAGAATTTATTGTTTCCAGCGGAAATAGACATACGGACTTAAAAGTTCGAATAAACTTGGAGCAGATAGCTTTTATCCTGTATTGGGAGGATAAAAAGCAACAACAAAAGTTTGCCATATCCACGTCGAAGAAACGACACGAGTTTTTTTTTCACATGGGCTGCCTGTAAGCAGTAGGAACCAGGGTCAAGCAAGGGGTGTGGCACACGATCACTGGTTACGACCCTCCCCCCCCCTCTGATTGCTGTCTTAATAAGACTCCCCTGAATTATATGCCTAAGTTAGCATTACCTGAAGGCTCTGTTCAACATAATGGGCAACATATCCATAATAAGCATGTCAATTAACCCCTGTAGACAAAGTTTGAGCGGATTCTGAAGATTCAAGATACTAGGCTACCTAAGTGAAATGGTCAAATTCCAGCATGGTTAACTTTGTTTCAAAAGTGACTTAACTATCCGTTCTTGCACTCAAGACAAAGCACTACTCCTTCTTTGTCTATCTTAAAAATCCCCCTTCAAAAGACCTCCAAACTGTGGAATTAGAAGCCAACCAAAATCTCA